TATTTATTTCTTGCTTCCCTTCCCTTAGTCTCCTCCTACCCTCCCCCCCCCCCAACTCCATCCTCCTGGAAATAAAATGTTGCCTGACTGCTACTAGCCTGGAAGTCAACAGCAAAATTCAGTTCTGGAGTATGACTTCAGCGCACAGTCTCTCCCACACTTCTACTCCCTCTCTGAAAATTTAAGGATAACAGACCTTTCCCTGAGGTGATGTGAGGGTAAATATATTAGATAGGGCAAGGGGCTCAGATATGTGGTAATAGAGGAATATAAAAATATTGTAGATTAGTATTTTTCTTATTTTTTATTTTTTAGTGGATGGGTATGGCACCCTGGGGCAATCTGGGAGTTGGGAATCATTGAACTTTATTGCAGATGATAGTAAAAAAGTCCTTATACTCCCACTTCCTGCACTCTCTTATCCCTCAAGTTCTATAGTTAGTGTGTGGTTGTACTATGATGGTCCAGTTGATATGCGAGACATAAGTTTTGTTTGTTTGTTTTAGTGATATCTTTTATTGGACCAACTGTTTATATAGTTGTGAGAGAAGTTTAGACAACCTCTTGGGCGCAGTGCCTTTATTTAGGTCTAGGGAAGAAGCAAGCCCCAAAGCTTGTCTCACACTTATCCCTTTGAGTTCAGGTGCTCTTTGTTTCAAAGAACACCCATTTTATAGACTTATTGTCACCATTCAGAACACTTTTGCATTTACTGTAAAGGTTTTTGACTTTGCAGGTTGGTAACCTTTTATTCAAAGGTTGAGAGCGCCTTGTGCAGGTGTAGGCTGACTGGAGCATACAGTATTCCTGTAGAAATCAGAGGAGTGCTATCTTGATGGAATTAGTATTACAGTCTCTTGTGCAGTTTCTTCATTACTATAGTACAGAAGTCTTGGCAAGAATTCTGCTAGTAATGATTGGACTAAAAAACATAAAGGCTATTTTTCAGCCAGGAATAGCTGCAACTATTCCACTTATTGTTCATTAGTAAAGAAACATGATTAGATTGTAAGCTTTTCTGGGCAGGGGCCATATCTTTCTACACATGTGTTCACCATTTAGTGTAATGAGGTATAATTTTTTTACGAATGCCTCTGAGTGTTAATAGCAATGCGGATGTTCATTAGTTATAATTGATAATCAGACTGAGCGTGTGAAAATTGTCAAATGATTAATCAATGTAAAGCTTATTACAGACATGAGTTGGATTCTAATCAATGGTTAGTGACTGCTGTAAGAGTATTTATTAATCAAAACATAAATTGCCTGCTATACTTTTATAAACTGCTTACAAATTGAACCTTAATATTAATAGTAAGGGCACTCTGTGCTTATTTGTCTCTGTACTCATACTAGAGATAGAGGGGGAAAGGCTAAAGTTAAAGTTTTTTGTGCTCTTCCCCCCCACTCACCTTTTATTTATTTATTTCCTCCACACAGTATACTCTTCGATGTGACATGCGACGTTCTCTGTTGGCTAAGGACCTAACTAAGACTTGTGAATTCATTATCCATTCACAGGTAAGTTGGCATTTTCACCTTGGCAGTTTTGCCCTGTGTAGTGCTACTTGGCACCAGTCCTGTCGTGCAGTATTAAAACTTTTATGTTTTGTGCCACTTTATGAACAAAGCATAACACAAGAGTTAGGAGTGTAGTCAGCCTCAAACTCATCTTTGTTCCCAAGTTAAAGCTATTAGAGTTTGCAGTCACTTTGAGGTATATTTATGCAACCTCTGTGCTTTAATTTTATTTAAAGGTGCCTTTTTACGTGGTACAGACATGGTTTAAATGCTGAACTCACTATGTTGTGAGCTCCTCCCACTTTCCCATCCAATTCTTAGACTCATTCTACTGCTTGTTCACTTCATTTCCTAGCTATGTGCTGATCTAGTCAGTATCTGACTATTAAAGTGGTGATCTGATTTCTTTTCCTTGGAAGTGTCAAGGCTCCAGAGCTCTGATTGCAAGTACTGAGAGCTTTGGGTGCTCACCATTTTAAAAAGATCACTTACCCTTTCTTTTACTTTAGATGCCTAATTAGAGACTCAAGTCCCTAGGTCTAAGTGTTGAGGTAGGAGTGCATCAGCTTAGAAACAAGTGAGCAAATACACACAGACCACAAGACCAATGTCTCAAATAAGCTTTGTTTTCAGCCAGGTGTTTACAGATGGCAAGTCACTCCAAAAATGCCTGTTGTAACAATGCACAATCCTGCAATTAGCTGTGCATGCATGCCTGCTGCTTCTGGTTGGAATTCATTACGTAACCTGGAGCAGGAGCTGCCTTTGGTTTCATCCTGTGAACTTTCATCAAATAGAGTATCATTGTTATCACTGAAATGTAGAGATGTCCAGAGCATCTGTAATTGAATCAAGCTGTGCAAAATTAACAAAAATAAATTTCCTTCTCCAAAAGGTGCTAAAACATACTTAGCTCCCACAGTGAGTTCTTTAACAGGATGTTAGTAAGACATTAATACACTTAAATACTTTTCATTCCTGTTGTGATAATAGTGAAAATAAATATAGTAGAACTTCATTAATGAGCGCAAGAAATTGCCCGTCTCGTATTTCTAAGCTTTTGTTATTTTACAAAATATATTACACTACACTTACCGGTATATTATGGAGCATTATAAATAAGCCACAGTTGTCAAAATAATGAACAAATTATGAGTTGTATGGTATCCTTGCTTTATAGCCAGTTCCCAGTTCAGCACTCACTAGTTCATGATTCAATAGATTACCATGAGTATCCCAGTCAGAGTAAATTAATGAGGTTTTATTGTCCATATAATTCTCGGATTTACTGATGCACATTGTGCTGTTTCCCTCAACCTTATTTCTTGTGGCAGAATTTGTTGGACTATATTTCTCCATAAGTAAAAATGCTTTTTTAGCTAGCACTTACCCATTTTGGAATTATGAGAAACTCCTATTAGGCTTAAGTAGTGGGGATTATTAAAACTAATTGCAAAGTTCAAGTTAGGTCTTTTAATGTCATTGTAGCACTGCAACTCATCCCAGCTGCGCACAGCTGGGACCCTCAGCGCTGAATGACAGGTATCAGCAGTCCTGATGTTTATGATTTGCAGTGTAATCTGAAATATGAATCAAGGTGAACAGTGACAAGACATCTCTTTTGCGGAAGAAGGGTAAAGGGGCTGCAGATGCTGAATCATAATATGACTGCTTTAAACTGTCCTCTCCCAGGAAAGTGCAAGGCTGCCATTTCAGGAAAACTGCAGGGACCTTTTGGTCACTTGAAACTCATTTTAGCATGTCTACCTGGTAAATTTTACTATGCTTGACGCCAGTTCTCTCAAGCCTGTCCAATGGAAGCAGTATAGCTGCATCTGCGTGATACCCTGGATGGACCTGCTAATTGTTAGTATTGCTTAGCAGCCATTTCCCAGCAGCCCCTGCCTGTGTTGCTGTGACCAGTTTCCATGGAGACCCCAGTAATGGCACTGACAGTGCCGGGCGAAGGTTTCTATGGAGACTGACCCCAGCAGCACTGGCAGGGTGGGGGGCTGGGTAGGGAGCTGCTCTGGGGCCAGGATTGGGATCTTGCAGCAGTGACTGCAAAAGCCAACGTGGTAGAGTTCGTTATGCTAAACTGTGCTGTTAGAAGGCCATAATCTCACCTGGCAAAATCAATGAGGGTGCACCAAATGTAGCACCTTATAGATCACTTCCAGTACATGGCTTTTGGGGCCACAAGCTGTAAGGGCCTCTGGTAAAATGAGAGGAAT